TCAGATGGAACATCAAAATCCTCTGGAGGCAAGACTCCAACTATGGCTAATGATCTCATAGAATCACCTTCTACTTGAGAGGCTGAGTTAGAAGAATGATAGGGCTTCAATAAATTCACTTGACACCACTGAATCTTCTTCCTTCTGTCTGGTGTGCACACTAAATAGTCCCTGTCTGACATACGGCTCTTAACTGTGTACGGCCCACTAAACTTGGCCTGAAATGGTGAACCCACCAGAGGCAACAAAGCTAAAACCTGATCCCCTGGTTCAAACATGCGACATTCAGTTTTACAATCAAAAAGGTCTTTCATTTTCACTTGTGCACAGCTAAGCTTTTTGTGAGCAGTGACACAAGCAAGATGCAGACGGTGACGAAAGCCATTTACATAGTTCAAAACATTATCAGGTGGTTCAGTATTTTTCAAGTCATTACCCAGCACAGCAAGTGGACCCCTGACTGTGTGTCCAAATACAAATTCATTGGGACTGAAACCTGTGCTTTCTTGTGAAACCTCTCGTACTGCAAGCAACAACCAAGGCAGGCCGTCCTCCCAATCCTGAGAAAGCTCAGTACAATAAGAACGCAGCATAGATTTCAAAGTCTGATGAAAACGTTCGATAGCTCCCTGAGACTCAGGATGGTATGCACTAGACACCTGATGTCTAACCTTCAGCTGATTTACCACTTGAGAAAATGTACGAGACATGAAATTACTCCCCTGGTCAGTTTGTACCACTTTTGGGACACCGAAGGTAGTAATAAAAGAGGTCAGTGCTTCCAATACTGGCTTAGTTTTAATGGAGCGCAAGGGAAATGCAGCAGGATAGCGAGTACTTTTACACATTACAGTCAACAAATACTTACACCCAGCCATACTTTTTGGAAGCGGACCCACACAGTCAAGCAACAGATATTCGAATGGCTTTTCAACCACTGGAATGGGGTACAATGGAGCAGGCTTAATTTGTTGGTTGGGCTTTTCAGTTAACTGACAGGTGTTACAAGTTCTACAATACATTGCTACGTCCCTCTTGAGACGAGGCCAGAAAAATTGGCGGAGTACTCTATCGTAAGTTTTCTTAACACCAAGATGACCTGCCACGCCATCATGTGATGTGCTCAACACTAGATCTCTGAACTTTAAAGGGACCACAACTTGAACAACACTGTCTATTTGCACACCATTTACTACACGGGTCCACTTCCTCAACAGCAAGCCATCATTAAAAAAATAACCACTAGGGACACACTTGAGCTCACTTTCTGGACAGACCAGGTCCAACAGAGATTTCAATGTAGGATCTGCAGCTTGTTCTTTAACAAACTCCTCTCTAGACAGTGACAGCAATGGGATAGAAAACAATTCAAACTGCTCCTTTCCCCCAGAACTGCCTTCAACTTGAGAAGCTGACTTCTGAGAGGGCTGAAACTGTTCAGATTGTTCCGACTCAGCTTTGCTTCTTGAATGCGACACTACACAGGAAGGGCAAACTTTGGGGTGCAGTGCAGCACACTCATCTGGTCCCCCAGAGTCCTGTAAGGGTGAACCAACACACTGTGGTGAACTATTTTTCCAAACCCTATCCCCAGCCAAGTCATTTCCTAAAATTATGTCTATGCCTTGCATCAGCAGCTGAGAACGGACACCCATTTCAACCTCTCCACATACCAGATCAGAGAAGAGATAAAAATGATGTGAAGGAATCCTCATTGGAAACAACCCAAAACCAAACATTGGAAATTTTTCTCCAGTAGTAGTGCTGGATGAAAAAGGTAAAATACCTTCCACAATCAAACTTTTAGTAGCTCCCGTGTCATGCAAAATCCTAACAGGAATCTTGTTTTTTCCATCCAAAGACAGAAAACCATCCGAGACAAAAGGTTCATAGGACTGATCAAAAACTTTAGATGGAACAGACTGAAGGGGAAACACCTCCAATTCAGGCCTACCAGTGCTCGATGCAGAGGAGACTACGCCGGCTGAATTAACATACACACTGGAATCAGCTGATTTTTGGCCAGATTTAACAACTGGGCATTCCCTGTTCCAGTGCCCCTTGTTTTTACAAGCAAAACACACCCTGGTTGGATCAAACTTGCCGTCTGTCCCTGGAACATGCCTCATAACCTGATGAGCAGACTCATGGGCGACCACCGGAGACTTACTGTGCCTAAACCTAAAATTCTCCCTCTGCCGACCTTTCTGGATTTGACCAACTACTGAACCACTAGCATGTGTTAAAACATACTCATCAGCAAGAACTGCAGCCGCAGATGCTGTGTTCACCTTCTTTTCATTGATATAAGTAGCAAGGTGGGCAGGCAATGAACTTTTAAACTGTTCTAACACAATTAAATCACATAAATCCTCATAATTGTCTACCTCAGAAGCAGAACACCAGCGTGTGAAATGAGCCAGAATATCTTGGGCAAATTCAACATGGGTTTGCTTGTCCCCTTTCTTCCAATTTGTAAACTTCTGCCTATATGCTTCTGGAACTAGTTCATACGCCTTTAGAACCGCAGCTTTAACTGTAGCATAATCACCGCTTTCCACAGAACTAAGGGCAGAAAAAACTTTTTGGGCCTTGCCTGTGAAAATACACTGCAACATCATAGTTTTATGGCTATCTGGCCATTTTTTAACTTGTGCGACACGCTCAAACAATGTCAAAAATGTGTCCGGATCTTTTTCCTCAAATTTAGGCAGAAGACGCAAGCTTTCAGCAACATCAGAACCAGCAGGGCCACCTCTACCACCGGTTAACAATGACTCGTGTGCTTTCCCTTGCTTTTGCAGCTCCAACTTCAACTGCTCAACCATAGCTCTCTCCCTTTCCAATGCTAGTTCAGCCCTCATTCTCTCCTTCTCAAACTCAAATCGTAATTTCTCCTTCTCTAATTGAAATTTTTCCTTCTCTAGCTGCAGATATTCAAATGACAAAGTGCCACTAAAAGACTCTGGACCGACAGGGCCTGCAGCTGCTGGAGCCTGAACTTCCTCCAAAAGTTTGGCAGATACAGCTAACCCCTCAATAATGCTCATTAGCTCAGCCTTTTTTGGTATCTTATCGGTTTTTGACCAGCCCAAATGGACTGCCAAATCAACTAACCCATCTTTGGTAAACTGAGTTAAAGTACTGCGAGATGGTCTTTCCAGGAACTCAGAAGCCGAAGTAGTACTCTGCTCCGTCTCAATGGTTAACACAGCCACACTGAATACACAACCAGCACATCCAAAAAGTGAGTAAAGCAGTTTGAGTCACACAATACACAACTACAGGGAGAATGAGTAATTATGGAGCTCCCCCTTCTAACTGCCTATCCCGAAACTATATAACTGAACCCTAGTCTTCATGTGCGTACTGGCGGTGGGTATTTATGCACCTGCAAACCGTCTGCATTGGAAAGACCACGTGTCTCAGCCAATACTTCGGGGTGCTCCCGAGACCACTGCTGCGAGCCGCACTGACAACACACCAAAACAACAAACAGCCCTAAAAACAAACAAACAAAATCAACAACCTCTCCTTATGAGATGACCGTTGCTACTGCCTATCTGGGGGATAAAATGAATGCTCCAGCCAGACAGCAAAATAGCACAGCTATCCCGCTATAGTCATCCCCACAGTCATATAGTGCATAACTCAAACTCACAGTTCTACCAGGATGCACAGCTAAATTGCAGCTACAGACATTAGAGAACTAAACCATCTCCAACCTTATCTGTTTAATTTAACTTGAAGGAAAAAGCTGTCACCGTGGGCCTCCCAACCCAGTCAAACACAACCAAAATGGTAATATTAAAGGTTCAAAATTGGACGAGCCCCCACTTGTTATGCCCAGCTCGTTGAAGGGCATAACAAAGAAGGGAGGTCGACACGGAACAGCTTTTAAAGTAAATGAGTAATTTATTGAAAATATTCAACAAAGGAAAACTAATAATACAGTCTAGAAACTCAACATAATCAAATACAACCAAACCAAACCAAGCCAAGCCAAGCCAAACCAAACCAAACCAAACCCAGAGAGACCTGAAAGGCTCCAGCCTTCCAGGAGGGAGAAAGAGAGAGAAATCCATCTTGGATTCCCCCAGCTTTTAAAGGCATTAACCAAACCAGTCCTTTAACGAAATGGGAGGGGGAGGTTTTCCATACTGGAAAAAAAAGCAAAGGCAGGAAAACACACACTGGCAAGGCCTGTGGCTGTCACACTATTCACACCGAAGGAATATGTCAAGTGAATTGGTGTGGCACTTTGATGTGTTTATTGTAGGTTACAATAGAGCTCTGTATGAAGGGTTAAATTTTGTCTGTCACAGGGAGAATATGCAGACTCCACACAGAAAGATCCCAGGCCCATGCTGGGACATGAACCATTGTGAGGCGACGGTACATGAACCATTGTGAGGCGACAGTACTGACCACCGAGCCACCGTGGCTGGTGGAGTTGTCAACAGGGTATATTTTAACCCAAATTCTAATCTTTTCTACACTGAAAAAAATAGTCTGTTGGATTTACATGAAAAAATATGTACATCGGTTGCACATAATAATATCACGTTAAACAAAAATTATTTAATCAAGTTAAATACATCAAACTAATTCTTATACAACAAACATGACTTATTTATGTTCATTTCAATATTTTCTTTTATGTTAACTATATGCAATTACCCCATGTTAAACCAACATGATTTTTTTTCATGTTAATTAAAAGTTTCTTATATGCTCTTTACCTTTACTTAGTACATGTTAAAGCAACATGACTTTTTTATTAAAACTACATGCAGTTTTGTTGTGTTAAATCTACCTAGCCTTCTCAAGTTATTATACTATTAAGTTATAAAGCATCCTCATAATTTGTGCATACATTCCTCAAAACTTCCTTGCACTGTTATGTAAATAAATGTTTTTTTGTACATCCTACCTGATCTATGATAATCTCTTCTCCACAGCATTTATCATAAAATCTTAAAAAACAAGGCATAAACAAATGTTTTTTAACAACAGCTGTATTTTCTCAAACAGTTAAACAACTTTACCAAATCCACAAGAGGTGTTTGCATTTTTCACTCTCTATCATCGACTATACCTGGAAAAAGAATGAAAATATATAAAACAAGAAAAGGGAATCACGGTCAAAAACCATATCAGTGTTACGCATGCAACACATATCACATTTTCCTTCATAAGAACAGTATATTCTTAAGAGAGCATCACAGACATCTATAACTGCTACAATCTAATGTAACACCAGTCATTAGAACAGCTCCCACAATTAAACTGAGTAGATGTTCCACATTTGTTAACTGCAAATAATAATTCTTTTAGCAACTTGTAGACAGTAAAGCAGGAACCAGTATAATAAAATTTTACTACTGTCTGAAAAAAGACAAGTGTAAAGGAAACAATTATTTTCCAGAGAAAAAACTGTATCTGACTTTCCCAAATGGCTCAAACATGGCACAGTATTCATGGCTTGCTTTCCCCCAATTATATTTAGCACTGAATGTACCAAATCTGAACAAAGGTTGAACACACATGCCAATACAATAAGGCACTTTGATGCAGGAAATTGAACACAAACATCATTGCACGCCTTTGTCCTTGTGCTTGCCATGAAAGTGCAGCAGTGCTCCATAGTAAAAGATCACTCGTAGAGTCTGTTTTTGAGTACTTGGGCTTTCTTCGAAAGCATGTTGCCATCCAGCTCCATAACAACTTTCTGAAGCACTTCGAAAGTGAACTTCAGTTCAGGAGGATAGTTGAGGTTCATTGCATACATTAGACCAAACAACATAGCAGCAGCGAATCCAACGCTGTCCAGATCATGAAGAACCTGCTGGCCTTCAAGGACAATTCCTATGTCGTCTGGATGACTGGTGGCCTCATGTTTGATGACAAATATTCCCATTGTGGTCTCATCAAGTGATGCTCTGATGGTGGCTTCGTCTTCTGCCTGCAGAGGGCACAGTCACAAAAGGAACTGAGTGAAATTGAACAAATAAACATACAAACAAACCAAAAATGCCAATCAATGTTTTATGTATTTAGATACTGGAAATTAGAATACTGTATGGCTGGCTGTTCTATGCTGTTTCAATAACTACATATTTCACTGCTCAAAAAGAAATAATAATACTTACCACAAACTCTCTTGCTAGATTTGCTGGGTCCTCATTGAGGTACACACTCAGCCCCTTCAGAACACTGTCCCGCCTTACATCAACATCTTCATCCTAAGTCAAAGGGGTAGGGAGAGAAGACACTTTTGTCCTCATACAAATCTGTCCACCACTATACAAACACTATATTTCCCCAAAATTCATTCTTACTTGACTCATGTGTGCCACAATGCTCTGCAGACGCTTGCCTATCTGACCTCCTCTTTTTTCAAATAGCTTCAGACGTCTGTCAGATAGCACATCCAGCCGTGAGAGAAATTTGGATTGCAGGGGCATAGTGGTAATGCGCTTAAATTCTGCATTTATCTGAAAAGAAGATCATATTTTTAAAAAATTATTGATCCCTTACTTTTCAAATAGTCTCATGATTGTAGTTATTTGGTATATAATTTATCCCACTCAATATTTTGTTTTGCTGTGGTAAGATGTTTTTTTAGTTCATGTATGTGTGTACTAAATGAAAATCGTGGGTAAGCAATACCAGTTGAGAACCATGAAGAATTTCATGAATTTTCTTTAAAGAATAATTCAAATATACAAGGTCACTATGACCTTGAAGGCCAACCACCAAAATGTAAGCAGTTCATCTTTGAGTTTAAGTAAAGGTGTGTACCAAATTTATGAAAATTCAGAAGAACATGACAAACAATCTGAAAAAATAAGGGCTCCTGGCATAAAAACATGATCAAGTTGAATTTGGATAATGGGGCATGGCAACAAAAGGCATGGAAACAAGGACAACCACGTGAACAATGCATTATGAACTCCAACATAATCCAAATATTTAAGTCAATACATAGTTGAATTACCATACTCAAAGCAAATATCATAAATAACATACCTCATTCACTTCAAAGAGTGCTGGCCATCTTGCCTGGAAGTCGTGTATCATTGGTGCATCGCGTACCACTTCATGTCTCCTATATGCAAATGTCTTCTCCATTTTCATCTTCACCACCTCCCTGTTGTTTCTCTTCTGCATATCTGAAAGAAGTTCCAGTCTCACCTTCTCAAGGCTCATGTCAGATTCTCCAGTAGGATAAGGTGGACAGTAGTTCACTTCGGCCCGCCTTGGTCTTTTAATTCCGAAAGCAGCACTTGATTTGCCCTCTGGTTTGTCCTTGAGAGCGTTAACCATTACTTCAGGACACCCCAGCTTCCTCAAGTGAGTGCGGTAGATTGCCAGTTTATTCTTTAAACTGGCTTTCCACCCAGCATATCCAGAGAGGGAGCCTTTCTCAGACAGGCATGGATGCTTTGAGATGAGGGCCTCTCCAACCATGTCAAACTGCTTATCAGTGACATAAACTTTGTACCTAACTATTTCTTGCACCAGTCCTTCGAGAATATTTGACCTCAGTTTAGGATCTGGAGTAAGCACGGCACCCTCTTCTCTGTATGCTGCATTACCTCGCTCAAGTTTTAGCTCTGCATCACAGCAAAACTGAGGAACATGGAAGATAGTGGGCCAAACGGACCTACTTCCGGATGATCCTGATTCTGGTGAGGAGAGTATGTCGGTGTCCACACAACTACTAGTCAGAGATGATGATTCTTCATGAACACAAACAGTAGAACAATGGGGAGTTGAGACCTCTGTCATGGGGATTATTTTGATAGTCCCTCTATCCTGAACTTCATCCATTGATGTGATATTCATAAAGTCATTTCCAAAAAGTGCATCCATGAATTGAAGTTTGAAGTCAGAGTTAAGACAACATTGTCTTCGTACCTCGCCAACAAGTTCATCAACAGATGCAGGAAGCCCATTTTGGAAAGTCAACCTTTGGCTGGTGTTGTCACCCAGGATGACTTTGAGAATGGCTGGGGTATTCATTCTTCTACGCCTTGGTCTGTAAGGAGGATGAGAAAGATTAAATTTTTAAAAAGTTTGTTGCATATTGTTTTATTGTTTATTAACTTTTCACTTTTCCACCAATAAAGTTTGGAAGTTCAACCTGGAAACTAGAACTGTGGCTAAAAATTAGGAGCCTGCCAAGGATGTAACCCACAGGCATGTGTGACATACAGTGTAGTGGAACATATTATGGTTATTACACAAATATAACCAGAATATTGACAGAGAGGAAGCATGGCAAGCAGGGTGTCAAACTGCAAAGACAGACGCCTTAAAAAATTTTTATTTAGCATGTATATTATGCATCATGTTTTGGAGGTTAACTAACCTTTTATGAGGATGTGTCTTTTTAAGGTCACCATGCGGATTGATCCAACCATATAATCGGCCAATGGATAGGTGTCAGTGAGTTCACTGAGTGCCACAATTTTTATTTCTCTTGACGGTGACACGCTTAGTTCAAAGGCTCTGTAGTTTGCACTGTACCACCCACACAAAATTTTCACAATGAGGAACAACTCCTCATTTATAACACACATCTGAATGATTTCAGCGAACTCTGGTAATCCACTTACTGACCCATGGGCAACTATCATACCTTTGCTGTAAGCTATGCCACCAGTCAATGCATTATTGGCAAGGTGCACTTCTGAAATGTTGGGGTATTTTGACCTAACAGCCTGAACCACTTCCTCTCTCAGTACATCAACTGGTACTGTGGACACACTGGATACATCAAGGCTAGACTTACCATAGGATGGCGAGTTTATGTGGAAAGCAATCATTAACTGATGTTTTGAAGCCAAAGTCAGAGACAAATTCTTAAAGCAACTTGTATGCTTTGTAATCTGCTTGAAGAAACTATGTTTGGCTTCGAATCGCATTGTCCAGAGTGTGACAAGAGGGCCAAAACATCTTATCATCTGAGGGTAGTGCTCAAGATAGTGGTGCTTGGGTAGAAGTCTGACACCAGGGAAGAGCTCTTCGTATCTTTGTCTGTGCTCAACTATTTTGCTTTCAAGGTATGCTATAGATTCGTCTGTATGCACGGGAGCAACAACTAACTCAACAATTTCTTTTAAATCCATCAACACTAGCCATGCTGGCTCATTTTCTGGCACGAGAGGTCCAATCAAAAATGGGAGAAACCTCAGGAGACTCCAATTTTCATGGGCATTGCCTCCAATAGTTTTCCTACCCAAGAAACTCTGTGGCACAACATGTGGTTTATTTGTTTTGTCTGTCCATTTATAAGGAAATGCCAAAATATGTTTATTGAGGCCATCTAATGTAATTAACTTCTTTGATATCATTGATGTCAAGCAGTAAGCCAGCTCAACTGGGACAATGCCCTCAAATAAATCATGAGCAATGTCAGGAGGATAACCAGAGACAACATGAAAATAAGACAGATTTTTTGTTAAAACACAGTCTCTTTTAACCCCAAAGCAATGGGCATTCTTCTCAAGACTTGCTTTTACATGAGCCACGTAAACCTCTTTAGTTCGAAGACTAAAGGCACCAGATGCAACACTGTCTGACCTAATATCACAACGTTTTGCAGTGCAAAACCGACAGACGTAGTCACCTGAAAAACTTTCTGTGAAGCCTGCAATACTGTGTGCCCCCAAGTTATCAGCCACAACACTCTGCACTGTACCTCTAAGAGACTTGCCTAACAGAGGGACATACACACCATAGTCCTCTAGAGTTTTAAGATCCTGCAGAAAAGGTTCCAAGACTTTGTCATAACTATATATTTTTACATAATCACTTTTGCAAAGTATTGCAAGAAAAATACATGACAAGGATGAGTGTGAGCCAGGTGGCAGGTTACCTAGTACCCAATAAACACCACAAAGCTTATGTTTCTTCCGTGAGGTGCCTAGGGGATTGCAAGTTTCGAAATCGTCCACGTACAGACGCAGTGATATTCGTAATTCCTCAACATTCAGAAAGCCGTTTTCTTTAAAATACAAACCATCCTCAGGAGCCCTTAATTCAAATGATGGGTCAAGTTCAATGTCCTGCTGTCCTTTATGATTTTCAATAATCTTATCAAGTAGGACTCTGCAATTTAATATTTGCTGCAAGGATTTTAACAGTGGGACATACTGAAAGGTGTGCTTTTTTTTACCATCAAGAATGTAAGTAACTGCTTCCACAACGCTGAATTTTTCCTTGTAATATTGTTTACGTTGATATGAAGTGCTAAGGCGGCCACCTTTTTTAATTGCTCTATGAACTGGATTAAATGAGCAAACTGCTGTTGTGATTTCATCAACTACAGAGTCATCAATTTGGAGGAAATGACACTCAAGAATCTCACTTACACAACCTCTGGATAGTGGGTATGATGCAGAACATAGTAAGTAGTAAAGGTCTTGTAAGAAATCATCAATGGCTGTACCTGGCACATGCACTAAATATTCCAACTTCAACAAGGCTGCTGCAAGCTGCTTCTCAACATTGCTTGCAAGTGTGTTTTTCTGGCTTTTCCAATCTACGGGTATAACTGCAACTTCCCCTTCCACACACTCCTCGTCCTGGCAATCAGCAAACAAATGATGTAATGGTGATGGTGCTAATCTCGTTGTTTTTACAATACCAGGTATAAAATCAGTTAGGGTGTGAGGTGTGTGTCGGCGACTCTTATGAGACTTAAAGGTTCCATAAATACTGGTTTGAAAACTACAGCCAGCAAACATGCAAAAGACATTTTCATTTCTCTTCAGATGTGTGTTGATATGAAGAAAGTACTCCCTTTCATTAGATAAATGTTTGCATTTACACACATGACAGCTGAATGTAGACAACTCTTTTTGAGTCTGATTAACTTGTGTGGAAAGTACTCTACTTTGATGTACAATTAAAGCATTCCGTGTCTTAAATGTGCATGGACATTTTGAATAAGTACACGGATAGCGAATGGTACGTCCAAAATGTGGATGTTTGAGCTTGTAATGGTGAAGTAGTTCAGACCTACTTGCAACGGCTACTGAACACCCCTTACACTGCCACATTCACTGGAGAGAGAGAGAGAGAGAGAGAGAGAGAGAGAGAGAGAGAGAGAGAAAGACTGAAATGGGACGCCAGACAACCGAACACAAATCCAGCATAGTTTTCTTCACAGAATAGGTCAGAAATGTTTCACAGCTACTCTTAATTGTAATTTATATGACCAAACTCAATGGACATTTTATTACACCTGGCTAAACACATGCAGTTGCATACAACATTCTTGCAATAAATCCTCCCTTCACTGAATTAATAATCAGTTTTGTTTAAACTGTTTAAGAGGACGAGGTCAGACTATTTAGAGGACATTGTGGTGCTGTGTGAATTATTTGGTGATATAGTGGCATTCATTTTCTGAATTTTAGAGACAACTCTTTCATTTATTCCTTATATGTTAGCACAAAATATGCAAAATGTTATTGATGAAAATTCAGAACTTGACAGCAACAGTTTCATACCTTGGATTATTAAAGGTTTTTTTGTATAATAAATATAATTTCAATACTCACCATTTACTACAGAGCCTTTGGAACTACAAAGCAAAGCAGTGGCCAACCATCTCAACCCTAATTGCCTACCCTGAAAAAAAAGAGACATGTTAAATAAGTTTAATATTCACACACAAACAGCAGTTATTCTCGCTTTAAGACCAACATTTAAGATATATCATGTTTCATCATGGTGTCCATGGTTTTTCCATGCTCAGAGCTGGTCTTCCAGGGCTGACTATGCAGGCAGTTTAGCGCATGCGTGTCATGCGTACTTTTTTGGGTCACAACTACATGCAACAGCAAAGGCAACAAGTCTCATTTGACAGAAATACATTTTTTGCTGTTCTTATTTCTTATAATTTTATAAACAATGTCTATTATGTTTGAGTAAATAAAACAGGTTAAAACATTTTATTTAATTGTAAGCGTGAGAGCAGAGTGACAGAGGGAGTGGGATTTCAAGATATGGACAGGGAGTTAAAGGGGATGCAAGATAGCTAATTGTAAATGTCAAACTCTGTCCTTCAATGGCTATTCTAACTATCTAGGCCACTGCTGAACTTAAACCTTGACAGAGAAGAAAAAAAATGAGGCATGCATAAATCACTGAAGCATTTTATCTGTCATTTACTTAACTGAGGAAGGCTACTTCTTATATATTTTCACCTTCTCCCTCATATTCCTCTCTCCTCATCTTTAGTTGAAAGCAAGCTTTAGTAACAAGTAGTAAAAAAAAAAAACTTAGAAGTAAAAACCGCTCACTAAACTGCATTAACTGCTGCAGTTGTCTCAACATATGAGCTAAATGGCATATACCAGCAGCAGTTGGTAAACACCATTTCTAGCTGGCGTTTACCAAATGCAATAAAAGCGCTGCCAGGTTACACAGACAGAGGGAATGGAGAGAGGAGGAGAGAACACAAGTTAACCTGACTACTAATTAACTTCGATGTGTTTATTTTTCTTTTCGTGACAAGAGGGATAATTCATTCCTCTCATAGAAGATGTAAGCATGTAATTAGCGGGACCTACACAGCATGACCAAAATACCAACACATTCAAATCGCAGACTTAGCAGCTAACTAACTAGCTAGCTAGCTAGCTAGCAGCACTCGTGCTGATCATCACTTCGCCCACCACAAATACAGTCAGTCTAAAATATTTCAACTCTACAGTGACCGGCTTTCTAGAATTAAATATGCATTACATCCCCTCTTCGTTACTATAGGCTCTACCTTACATGTGATGTGATCCGACCGGACTAAAACCTGCTGTGGATGAGGTTGCCGCTGTCTGCCCCTCGCGCCAACTCACTCTGACATGCGCACAGTGAACATGCCTGCGCACGTCGGTTATTGCCCCCCTCCCCCCACCCGTTTAGGCGGCTAACGTTAAACTTCATCGTTCTTAAAACTGGAAAACAACATCAACCGAACTAATGCTGCAAAGAATTTAACACTATAAAACGCATGCTATATGTACACATTTCCAAAACTATGAAGACAACTTTAGCCTAGCTAACGCCAGCAAATGTTAATGTTAGCTAAACAACAATTTCACTTATTCATGTTGCTCAATGTTACTACCAAATTAAAACATCAGCTTTGTGAAACAATGCGTCTGATATGACGATATCTGACTATGACAAACATTTAGTAAGATTCAATTACTTTTACCTTGTAAGCAGCTCCTCCGATCTGCATGGATTGCCTGACTCCAGTGAAAAGATGACGAACTGTGACGTCTGTTCTGCTGAGATGTGGGCGGAGTTTCCAGACAAAACATAACTTTTTTCTAAATTCTTTACATGACTGAGATTGAAAGATTTAACATCCCTCAAGGTTATAATAGTTTTACATGACTAATATATGTTTAGATGTGGAACATAAAACAATCATGTCTTGCATACAAATTGCATATTTAACAATTGAACAACCCCCCTTTTCCCTTTTTTTCAGTGTAAAGTCCAGTCTCGCTTAGCCAGCCCATTTTCCAGCACACAATGGCTGCACCTCACTATCATTCTGCTAAAGGGGAAGAAAAGCTTGCTTTGTATTTTTTTAAAAAAACCTATTATAGTTGTCTTGGGCAAAGTTAAGTTGTTGTTTTTAGTTGTAGTAATCTTCATGTATCATTTTCCACCTTGTTTAAAGTCTTTGAATCATCCATCCATTATCTTTTCACCGCTTAATCCTCATTAGGGTCGCGGGGGGGCTGGAGCCTATCCCAGCCGACTTTGGGCGAAGGCAGGGGACACCCTGGACAGGTCGCCAGTCCATCGCAGGGCCACACTTAGAGACAGACAACCAAGCACACTCACATTCACACCTACGGACAATTTAGAATCACCAATTAACCTCGGCATGTTTTTGGACTGTGTGGGAGGAAGCCGGAGAACCCGGAGAGAACCCACGCTGCACGGGGAGAACATGCAAACTCCACGCAGAAAGATTCCGGTGTCCCCACCGGAACGCGAACCGGCAACCTTGTTGCTGCGAGGCAACAGTGCTACCAACTGCGCCACCCTGCAGCCCGTCTTTGAATCAGATATTTAAATTCTTCTGACAGTGGGTTTGTGTTGTGTGTGTGGGGAGTAGCGAGGGGAGAACAGTGAAAACGCAACACACTCTCAGTCCGCTTGCTCAACTGTATTGAGTTCAACTTAAACAAAATACACAAAAAAATCCACCATTTTCAACAAATACATCCGATAATTAAACCAGTATTAACAGGTAAATGCATTTGTCTCCATATTAATCAACTCATCTCTAACTCCCCTCAGAATATTCACTTACTTTCTCTACAGCTTTTACTGTGAAATGTGTGGGAACAAGGCTTTTCACTACAACAGAACTAACACATGAACCATATATTTCACCTATGACTGTAAATATCACTCATTTAAACATTAGTGACAACTTAGCATACAGTCAACTATAAACCGGGACCACGAAGTCGCTAGCAGCTAGCTAACATATAAAATCGCTTTTCTGTAATGCTTCAGATAGTGCAAAAAATCACAGAACACAAACTTCTATGCAAACATAGACGCAGACATACAAGATATATCACAAACATGTTTTCATTCAGAATATATTGCTTTCTATTTAGCAGAAATTACCTTAAAAGGGGAGTAGCGAGGGGAGAACAGTGAAAACGCAGCACACTCAGTCCGCTCGCTCAACTGTATTGATTGAGGAGAGAGCGCGCGTTCACCTCCCGCTGGCATTGCTAGCCGATCGCTGCACATTTCATGGCAATGGCAGTTACTTGGATCTCCAGCGGCCATTACACGAGACATTACCAGTAGATTACTGCCAACTCAAACCAGGCCAAAATCTCTGCACTGCTGTTTACCATGTACCACATTTGCACTTGGAGCCATGATTCAGATATGCAGACGGACAGCCTATAGGTTCAAATTTATGTTCCAGCGTTAACATTTCATTCTGTAACTGCATTAATGCAGGTAGGTTGTGGCATTCACTGTGTTTTCTGAGATATTGCACAGAGGTTTACTACCTTATGTTATATGCTATATATCATTCCTTGGATAATTATTGTTATTCCGCACCGGTATTACCCCGTACAGGGCTACTGGTCCAGCTCTCTGTTACTAGGGCTAAGTTCTAACTGCCTACAGGCCCTCGACATAGTAGGATTCTATGGAACTGATTAAGCTGGTGTCGAGGAAACTCGCCTAGCTTCTAACTGCCTTATTCCAGACGCCTACCCCGCTTCTTCTAATAGGTGTCCCTACTAAGTAGCCTTGATAGTAGAATCACCCACCAGACACGCCTGTTAGTGGCAGCTTTCCTCTTATGGGAACGAGCACTTGGTAAGTTGCTAGGATAGATTTAGAGGTTTGGCATTACCAACCCCAGGGATATGTTTAAATACTCTATTTCATTCTTGACTTAGAATAACCATTAAGAACCTTTAAAAGCTGTTATGCACACAATAATCTAACTTTTTACCACCATTGGATACTTGAAGTCTTTCAATAAAATTTTAGTCCGTATTGTCTTTAAATGCAGGATTATATATTTATTGCAAATCTTTAGCATGGGCAAAGCATCAGCATTTTGATTATTCACACATAATTGGTCATTCATCCTAGAATTAATAATAAGATAATCTGTGCTCCTTTAAACTATAATTAATGACAAAATTACTTAATTTGTAGAGAGAGAGAGAGCCTAACAAGAACTAGGAAAGACACCCTACCAGCAGAGCAGCTACCCTGTACAGGGCAGCGATGTGCAGGTGACGTCCACCAGTCAGGGGGAGACGAGGAGTCGCAACTCCGATTGGAACTGCAGTCCACGTTTGAGTCTCACTGGGTAAAGTAGGGAAGCTGGTTTTCTTCTGGCAGAACACAGAAAAGGCTTCTGCCGCTCCTCTTCAGGTGTGCCGTAGTCCCGTTGCAACTCCTTCCATTCGCACTCAGTCAACTGAAAAATGTTCTGAGAACTCTAAGAGTTCTTCGGGCGTCCTTCAGTCTTCTGGTCAGGTTGACATCCACTTGTGTCCTCTGCTATCTCCCGAGCGATCTCCAACAAACATCTCTCTGTCTGTGACTTTTATACTATTTCTACAGCTCTCTCTCCCATAAACACAGTGTTTGATTTCTAATAATACACACGCTGATACACACTATTAGTGAAGCAACCGTCCTCCGCTTCGCGTCGGACGGTTCACGCCTCCGCGTCGTCCATTAATTTCTGATAATGGACACCTCGTCGGGCATTATCCCTTACGTATAAATCACAAACAAACACAACAGATGAGAATGTTGATCAATTTCTTAGTCACACTAATCTTCCCAAATTGCAACAGGAAAACAGGATGGCTCTGAATTTACCTCTATAAGTGAACTCTGTGAAGCTTTCCAGCATATGCCAAATAATATAGTATATAATATATATATATATAATAGAAAATGGAAACTTCTTGCCATTTGATATGCTGACTTCACAATATGTAATCAGCAGCCCATTTTTTTTAAGGATACTACCAACTTAAATCTGTAATAGGTAAGAAATATAGCATCAACTAATTGAACCTGCAGCTACCAATCAGGGTAGCAGAAATCATGAATCTCCATGCCCCAAAGCTATTATCAAAAATATACCGATTATCAAAATTGGGTGATTCAATCTCCCTTCCAACTTCTAAATGGGAGGCTGACTTATCCAGTAACTTCAACAAAATATATGGTCAAGAATATGTTTAAACACTTTTTATAATGACTAAGATCTCAAATATGCAACTAATACAATTCAAAATTCTCCACACAAATCATTATACAGGACAAAGAATGTTTAGAATGAGTCTGTCAAAATCAATTATCTGCTCACATTGCACCGAACATGCAATTGACAACTACTTCCATGCCCTGTGGGCTTGTCCACCTGTCTAGAGGTTCTGGCTTGAAGTGTGTGATGACTTGTCAACATGGCTCGGATGTAATATACCTGTGAGTCCAACACTGTGCCAACTAGGTTACTTGGGTGAGACCGACATAGCAAATAATTCTGTACATATGGTCCTTACTGTCTTATGTGTTGTGGTCGGTGACCACTCGGTGCGATGTAGGGCTGGACCAGAACGGAAAAAGGCACAAGGTTAGGGAAAAACAGGTTTTATTTTAAGGGAATAAGGGAGTGAGGAAACCAGGGAGGCAGGTGAGGGAATCCGGGGCTGGTGCGCTGGTGTCGTGAGGGGGAGTGTCCTTTCTATGTGACTATCCGTGCGGCTTGTGCTCGTATGGCGTCTTGTCCGTATATAGTGCGCGTGTGAATGGTGATGTTCCAAACCCAGGGCTCGTGTGGTGTTTCTTCTGTGGTGCTCTTCCCGTGTCGGTGCTCGAGTGGAGGAATTCCCGGCTCGTGGATCCGAGGGGGCAAACCAAAAGCTGGCGAAGTGGGGCTGGAGAAGCTGGAAACAGGGGCTGGTGGAGGAGACGCTGGAGAGGGAGAAAAACACACACAGTAACTCGTAGGCTCGAGAAGATAAGGCAAAAACACATGTGCTTCGGCTGGCGACTAGATATACCACAGGAGAGTTGGCAATCATCTCACACTGGAGCACAGAAAGACCAGTGGCTTTATCCAGTGTGTAACGAGGATGATCAGCCGCAGCTGTGAAGGTGCTGACGTGCGCTCCTCCAATCAGCCCCGCCCAGCCTGGAAAACATTGAGACACAGACACTCCAGCTGCATCCACAAAATGTTAATAAAAACAAATACAAAAATTACACAATCACCACATTATGTATTGCAACAAAGCTATTCTTGTGAATTGGAAATCCAAAAATAATCTGTGCATTGAGCAGTTGAGGAACATTTTAATAGACCACATCAACATTGAGACAATATCTGACTCTTCAAAGAATCAGCTAGCTGAATTCCAGTCCTTCTGGTCCCCTGTGATTAGCTTCTGGTGCCTGGTGACTACGGGCCTTGTGTGGTTTCGTTGGGTGGGGACTTGGGTTGCCTCGCTGTGGTGGCAGATCTGTGTTCGGCCCTGCCCCCTCTTTTTTTTTTTTTTTTTTTGATGGTGGAGGGTCAGCCAGGGTCTGAGCTGGCCTGGGCATGCCGCTGCGGGGGTGGGGCGGTGTAAGCCCTGGTGTCTTGTTGCTGCCCTGGAACCCAGGGTATGCCACAGGAGGGCTAGGAGAGATACAGGGGGGGTTGTAGGGGTTGTTGGCTCGGGAGGTCTTGGGGGGAGGGGCAGGGGAGCTGTCAGGTGATATGGGTTTGGTCTCCCCCGCTGCGCTCTCTGCTTCTCCCTGTCTCCCCCTTCCTGGTATGTGGTGGGTGGGTGTCTTCTGGGGTTGGTGGCGGCTCGTTGGCTGCAGTTGGTGTGGGCCCTGGCCGTGGGGGCTGCTCCTGGCTTGTCCTGCCCTGTATGGGCTCCCATGGAAGGGGGATGCCTACTGCCATCACCAGCTCGTCCTCTGGAGGGAGGTTCGCATACCTACAGTCCTACAACCTCAGACACCTTGCCTCCTCTGCTCTTTCATACACACACACCAGTGACGTGCAGTCAGGGAGGCAGGTGAGGCAGAGCCTCACCTGACATCACGAAAAGAGAAAAATAGAAATAATAAAATAATTTATATGGTTATTAATGGTTATATTATCCAGTGATTTGTACTATGAAGTATTTATTTTTTCATTTCGCCATTTTAAATTCAAAATTGCAAAATTTTCGCAATTTCCCATTCAAATGCTTGGAAGAGAAGCCAGTGAGGCAGCAGCGAGCTGTGCCTCACTTGTATTGTGCAATCCCTCACTGCGCAGGCTGCCATGCGTAGGCTATCACTGTATGGCAGCCAGCGAAGTGAGGGATTGCGCAATCCAAATGAGGCAGCAGCGAGCTCAGCCTCACTTGGATTGCGCAATCCCTCGCTACCTGCGTTGGCTGCCTGCAGTGACAGCGTGCTGCTGTCTGCATGTCGCCAATAACACGTTTCAAACACATTTAGTATCCATCCATCCATTATCTATACACCGCTTAATCCTCATTAGGGTCGCGGGGGGGCTGGAGCCTATCCCAGCCGATTTAGGGCAAAGGCAGGGGACACCCTGGACAGGTCGCCAGTCTTTCGCAGGGTCACACTTAGAGACAGACAACCAAGTACACTCACATTCACACCTACGGACAATTTAGAATCACCAATTAACCTCGGCATGTTTTTGGACTGTGTGGGAGGAAGCCGGAGAACCCGGAGAGAACCCACGCTGCACGGGGAGAACATGCAAACTCCACGCAGAAAGATTCCGGTGTCCCCACCGGGACGCGAACCAGCAACCTTGTTGCTGCAAGGCAACAGTGCTACCAACTGCGCCACCACATTTAGTGTATGAACTGATTTTCCATAGTTCAGCTGATGTATGTAATAATGTACAGTGTTTTTTGTTACCAACTGTATGTGTCTAATGTGTTCCGTGTGCTGAGCGATCATAAACGGCTGAGAAGAGGTTCCAGGTGAGGCAGGCAGTTCTCTTGCCTCATGGCAGGGGGCGCTCGTGATCCCAGACATGCTTCTTGTGACTCCGCGGCTGCAGAGTAAGTGACAGCAAGCTAGACTAGGTACAGTATAGTAGTCAAGTGCAGCGAAGGAAGATAAGGACACTTTCTACAAAAAAGAAACAGATATTTTTGTCCAGAAGGAGCGGAGCATGGACTTCATTTAAAAGTAAAGGTAAGACCACAATAACTTAAAAAAAATAACAACATGTGTTTTGTGGGCTGCAGCTTGTATGTGTAAAGAATGCAGACATGAAACGCAACCCGTAAACTGCTGCCAATCAAATGGCAAATATGCGACTGTGTAGAGTGCGTATATTTGTAAATCAGATTCTGATGAAGTCAGTGCCTCACCAGCCATGAACCTCACCGCACGTCACTGACACATACAAACGTAGGGCCTTGGGCAGCGAACACGTCATGCAGGGTGTGGCGGAGGGGGCCATCTAAATGGACCCATCTGCCATCTGCCTGGATCTTGGGCTCGTTGTTCTCTTGTCCGCCCAGGGTGTTTCTCACAAGGCATGGTGGGAGGGTTAAGGGTGGCGTGGATGTGTGAGAGCAAGTGTTGTAAGATTGGAGGGGAAGGTGGATTGAGGGAGGATGTGGTAGATAGGAAGATGGAAGGAGGAGGTGGGTGGATAGGGAGGGAGGGTGGATGGAGGGAGGATGTGGGTGGGTAGCGGGGGAGGATGGAGCATATGGGGATGGGTGGGCGGAGAGGGAGGTAGGACATGGGTGGATGTGGAGCGAGGGTGGTTAGTGGATCCCTGGTGTCCAGGGTGAGTGTCTGGGCATTGGTGTGGGTGCTAGCCCATGCCAGGTGGCTGCCTAGGTTGTCCTGGTCCTCCTGGGCTCTTGGTAGGCCTTCTGTCTGGAGTGGGGGGGGGGGTGGCTCTCGGGCTCGTGTGGCCCTGGGCACTGCGCTTGGCCTGCCCTGGGGTACCAGTGCCTCGACGGGGTCAGCGGCTGCTAGTCTTGGTCCACTGGGACCTCTGGCCCACGGCCATGGTGGGCTCTGGCTGGGGCTTTTCTCTGCCACCGTCTTGGAGGATGCAGGTTCGCCTCAGTGGTGTGGTGGCTGAGATTCGTACTCCGGGATTGCTACTGATGGCTTGGGTCTTGGGGCTCTCCTGGGGCCTCATTTAGCATCAGTGCGTACGCACAGATATGTGCCTACAGCGTGCATACGAACATTCCTATGCAAAGTATGGAATTTATCAACTTGTACTTATACTTAGGAATGTGCGTAAATATACGCACACCTCTGACCATGCTTACGTACACAATCAAGCGGTAGAAAAGTGAAACTACAAATAGAAAGTATTCCGGGATTTTGACCACCGGCACATTCCAGTGTGAGGTTGGAGACATATGCGGCATTTCCAGCCATCACTGAGCAGGATCAAGCCGGCAGTGTTGGATGCCGTAATTCCTCTGGCCCCAGCCTACATCCAGTTCCCTTACAGCCATCACCGATGAACCCAAATCAAACGGGGACTTAATGCCGTCGCTGGATTCCCAAACATATGTGGAGCCATAGACAGCACCCACATCACAATCAAAGCAGCATCACTAAACAAGCTTAATTTTGTAAATAGACAAGGGTTTCATTCAATCAATGTACTGATAATTTGCGCATTTGTGGCTATCCAACGTTATTGCCCGGTGGCTTGGAGGAACGCACGACTCATTCATTGAGCAGAACAGCTCTGTGAGTGCGTCTCCAAGCAGGAGCTGCTGAAGACGGCTGGCTTATTGGTGAGTGTCACAGAGTGTGGAAATGTTTTTTGCTGGACTTTGTTTGGTAATTAAAATATGTCATCTGTAGTGATCAAGGTTATCCACTGGGTGAACGTTCGGTATGAATTCGTCCTCCTCCAGTTGCAGCCATTTGTCTTTTATGGACCGTGATGCATTTTTTGGCACTGAGCTTAACGTCAAACCACTTTTTAAAATTTTTACCGGCGATCTCTCTGGCCCAACAGAAATAACTGCGGTGGTTATCTTGTCCCATGCAATATTTTTTCTTTCGCTGCTTATCCCAACATTTCACGCACCAAACTATATTTTCTGGCTTGCTTCAACCTCGCTGACAAGTACCTCGATCTCAGTTTCAGAAAAGCTCCTCTTTTTCGCCCTTTTTGCCACGATGATGCAACAGGCGAAGAAAAAATAAATCTTCACTTGCTTTATAAAGAGGCGTGTTGTTGCCCTATATGGTGATTTGGAGGCGTTCCTGAAGGCAACGTGCATGAGCACGGAGGTTAAGAACAAGTGGGATTTATCAACACTGATGTACGTATGACCCCCGTACGTACGTTTGATATATACAGATTTTTTTGTACTTACGCACACTCTAAATTTCATTTGTACGACAGAATTTAGAACCTTTTCTACGCACTGATGATAAATGAGGCCCCTGGTCTGCATCTGTCCTTCGCAGGGGCTCGGTTGCACTCGCATGGTTGCACTCATGTCTGAACACTCCTCACCCCACACATTCTGTAAAATGACACTGCATTGTCCGCACAAATACCTACCTTTGTTTGCTTTTTTAATTTATTTTAGTTGTTTCTCCTGATGTTTGTAGTTTGTTTTTGTTTTTTCTTTTGTGTTTCTTTTCCCTCTCTCATCTTTGTTTGCATATATAAATCTTGTGTTCTGGTAATCGTTGAGATTCAGGTGTTCTCAGCTTCCTCATCTCTTACAGCTGCTCTGGATGATCATCAGCTCTGTTTTCCTGCAACAGTCGTCACATCATTTCTGCTGTGTGTTAGTACAGGTGTAGCAGTCGGTAGATTGTGCTCTATTTGTTTTCTTCTACTTTCCTTTCACTCTCTCTCTCACTTCTTTAAACTATACGCTTTTCTTTTTCCCTCTTTCAGGTCCAGCAATACTAAAATCAGTTTAGTAATAAGCAAGCATCCCAAATAAATGAATGAAATAAAAGAGAATGAATACATACATACATACATAAAAATCAGACTAGCAAGAGGGGCATTATATTTACAAAGCTCCCCTTGGCAAAGTTAATCTTTTCAGCACAACGCAGCAGCCAGATCATCATTCTGCTTGCCTAAACGGACCTAAACGGAAGCACAGGCTATCAGGCTGAGACCTGGGTCTCAGACATGGGTTGAAAGAAATAGCTGGTTCCACTCAAGGACCTACAACACTGATAGTGGGGAGTGTCCACTAGCCTTTTTTCCCTTTCTTATCTTTTTTTTTTTTTGCATAATATCCATGCAAATATGTCTGTTAAATTAATAAAAAAATAAAATAATAAATAAATTCAGTATATTTCCATTGTAAGAGCAATGATGACAAAAACAATGAAAAATGTATTTTTCTGAGCCTGGGTGCAAACTTTGCCACTGATTCTATAGCCCCATCAAGAAATTATTATTTATTGTTTTTATTTTTAGGAATTTAATAATAATTTTTAAATGTACATTCAACTTATAAAAAGCCATTTTTAACTGGCTATTCACTAAATAGGTTGTAACAGTAATATCTGCGGTCAAGTGTCATTTTTTTACGCTGCCATGGCTCCCCGGCGAGCCTGTCCCTGCTGCTGAAAAAAACACAGCAAACACAGGAAACACTGACTAAGAAAATGTATGTAAACTACAGAGTTGTAAGGAAGTACTTATTATTCTGGCTTTTAGTAATGTTCTGCCCTTCATTCAGAAATCGTGCATCTGTTGTAATGTAAGTTTATCCTAGTAAAAATGGGTTCTATTCTTCCTTTCTGCCAATAGGGGTCGCTCTCGCCATTACTGTGGTGTTATTTGTGTTTTTGGTTGTAAACGTGATAGTGTATAGTAACAGTGCCTCCTAGTGGCCAACGGTCGTAGGCGGCCGGCAGCTAAATGACTCCAACGGCTGCATAGAATTCAACAAGGGACGTGTAAACATGTCGAGCCACGTCTCTCGGCATCATTGTTCATTTGGGAGCCTTGGCAAATCATAATCTGTAAGTTTATTTGATAAAATGCAGTGTTGTATTGTGTTCTGCATTTACTTTAAGTTTTTAGTGGCATATTTTCTTTCTACTAGTGCTGTATTGAAGTGAGGTAATATTGCTAGCCGCTAGTTGCTAAGCTAAAGCCGACGTCATCCTAGGATTGTACGTGATGATGCCTGATTTCTATCACAGTCGATTATTGAGTAATGTATGCAAGAGCACTTAGTAAGTGTCCTTGTTCTGTGTGTTACAGTTTCAAAAAAAAGAAAATATAGTCTTCAGTAAAATACAAAAGACGACAACAATGTGTAATTTTATTGCTGGATCCATTTAGATGTTTAGCTCGCTGTCTAGGTTACGTACACTAACTGAGGCAGAAGAAGTAAATAGAAATAATTTTGGTAATCATAACTGACCTAAAACAGGAAAAGTTTAGTCACATTCAATGTCAGATAGTGAGGAAAAAAGGTTATGTCTTTTTATACAGTATATGAACTTCTGGGGCCTCATTTATCATCAGTGCGTAGAAAAGGGTCTAAATTCTGTCTTACAGTGAAATTTATAGTGTGAGTAAGTACAAAAAAATCCGTATTTATCAAACGTGTGGACAGGGGTCGTGCGCACGTCAGTGTTGATAAATCCCACTTGTTCTTAACCTCTGTGCTCGTGCACGTTCCTTCAGGAACGCCTCCAAATCACCTTATAGGGCAACAACATGCCTCTTTATAAAGCAAGTGAAGATTTATTTTTTCTTCGCCTGTTGCATCATCGTGGCAACAAGGGCGAAAAAGAGGAGCTTTTCTGAAAATGAGATCGAGGTACTTGTCAGCGAGGTTGAAGCAAGCCAGAAAATATATTTTGGTGCTTGAAATGCTGGGATAAGCAGCGAAAGGGAAAAAGCTGCACGGGACAAGATAACCACCGCAGTTATTTTTGTTGGGTCAGAGGAGAGATTGCCGGCAAATTTTTTTAAAAAGTGGTTTGACGTTAAGCTCAGTGCCAAAAACCCCCCCAAAAAACGCATCACAGCCCATAAAAGACAAATGGCTGCAACTGGAGGAGGACGAATCAGAAAGTTCACCCAGCAGATAACCCTGATCACCTACAGATGAGATGTTTTAATTACCAAACAAAGTCCAGCAAAAAACATTATCACACTGTGTGACACTCACCACTAGGTGAGCCGTCTTCAGCAGCTCCTGCTTGGAGACGCCCTCACAGAGCTGTTCTGCTCAATGAATGAGTCGTGCGTTCCTCCAAGCCACCGGGCAACAACATTGGATAGCCACAAATGCGCATCGCAAATTATCAGTACTTTAATTGAATGAAACCCTTGTCTATTTACAAAATTAAGCTTGTTTAGTGATTCTGCTTTGATTGTGATGTGGGTGCAGTCAATGGCTCCACCTATGTTTGGGAATCCAGCGACGGCATTAAGTCCCCGTTTGATTTGGGCTCATCGGTGATGGCTGTAAGGGAACTGGATGTAGGCTGGGGCCAGAGGAATTACGGCATCCAACACTGCCGGCTTGATCCTGCTCAGTGGTGGCTGGGAAATGCTGCATATGTCTCCAACCTCACGCTGGAATGTGCCGGTGGTCAAAATCCCGGAATACTTTCTATTTGTAGTTTCACTATTCTGCCGCTAGATTATGTGCGTACGCATGGTGAGAGGTGAGCGTATATTTAAGCACATTTTCTAAGTATAAGTACAAGTTGATAAATTCCATACTTTGCATAGGAATGTTCGTATGCACGCTGTAGGCACATATCTGTGCGTACGCACTGATGCTAAATGAGGCCCCTGGTTTCAACTGTGTATTCAGATGAATTTTAAACACCAGCTTTCAATTTTCCTCGGTACCTATAGGAGCAAAAGGGAAGACTAATGAAACAACAAACCAATCAATAAAACAAAACCTTGAGCCAAAACAAGATTGATTTCAATATGATGCTAAGGTCATGCAGCTGTGTTGCACATTTTAAGTTAAAAATGCTTAAAAATTGCAAAAAAAATATGGAAACTGACTGCAAATTGCATCTGTGTTTACAGTAAATTAGCCCTTTTACCTTGGTGCATCCCTATGTTCACATTAGCAGAAGGGACGGCAATGCTTATTCTCGTATTTGTTGGGGCAACAGTGTCATCGTCAGCCTTGTGCATCAACATTGTTAATAATATAGTCCTGTAAAGTACTGTGATTTGTTTTTCTTGCACGTCATGAAAATGCATGTACGTATTCAGCAATGTGGCTTGGTCAAAATGATGTATTGATTAGAATTAACTGACAAACACTGATCATGCTAAGTGCTGACTGCATGGAACTAGAGATGTATCCTGATGTATGTAAATCCTCCAGATAACATAAGATAAGCTGAACATGGTGTGTTTGCAGTGCTCATCTGTTAACTGAAGTGAAAAAAAGTAAAAGTGCACATCTAGTACACTTCCTTGTGTGCGTGTGTTTGTAATGGTGGATTGTAATTATCTGTGGTCTGCAGGAACAGTTGTTGGAAAAATAATGAAAATGTATTTTTTCATGTTTGTAAAGGCTGCAAGGTCTCAACAAAGGAACCCCACACAACTGTGCTCTAGAACCAGAGAGACCTAAACTGCCAATCAGGGCAGTGAAGATGCGTCAAACAACCGTCCTTGTCATTCTAAAAGCTAAATTCAAACATCTGTCACTTTATGCTTTAGATGTACAAGTTAGTGCAACTGATTATATTCAGACTACAAGTAGTCATGTGCTTTGGGATGCAGGGACCCAAAGTTTGTTTGGCATATTTATAATGCAGTTTCCACTAACACTCAGCCTCAATAATAAACTGTGCAGTCTAGCAGTTACAGCTAAAGACGCAAAGTCAATTTTCTTCAAATTAATATTCCCTCAGGCACAGGTTTTTCATCTTCTCTGAATCCAAGCCTCATATCAAGCTGTGCAAGAAATGAGAGCTTGGCAAACAAAAAAAAATGCTGCCAATCTCTGTTTCTTGAGTGCTTGAAACCATTAACCTGGCAAACAGAGAACTAATTTGCTGCGAGTTTATCTTCCTACAGTAATCACAGTTGCTGTCATTCAGTTTAAAATTAAAAGTAAAATTCCTGTCTGTTTGGCGTTTATCTACACATTTAGCAAATGTTGATGTAGTTGTGCAAAGCAAGTACAACTGCAACAGTATATGTTTTAAATGGATTGATTGGTGACCCTTTATGTCATGTTTTACATGTTTTTGTGTTTTTATTTTTTAAACATATTTCCATTTCCATTTTTTGGTTTAGATGTGTTCTTTAGCTTCTAGTAAATTCATTTTTTTTCTAATATAGGACCACAATGAAAAAAAAGAGGAAAATTCAACCTTTAATTCAAGTGCATTTATTCAGTGTGAAAAAAATCCCACATTCTAAAATAATTCTTTTACATCAAATCATGTGTGCCACAATTATCAGCACCGTTAATGTTAATACTTTGTACAACCCCTTTTTGCCAACAATTCATTTGAGTTGAGTTGAAGATGACATTTGTCTACAATTTTCAATGTGAGTATGCTTCTGCAATAAATTTTAAACATCTTAACCAGGGGTGCCAATAATTATGGAGGGTGCTGTGTGTGTGTGTGTGTGTGTGTGTGTGTGTGTGTGTGTGTGTATATATATGTATATATGCACTACCGGTCAAAAGTTTTAGAACACCACACTTTTTCCAGTTTTTCACTGAAAATTATTCAATTTTTTGTGTCATTGTACTCTGAAATGAAAGCATAGAACAAATAAGCAATTTGAGTTGAAAAATAAATCATGGAATCAATTTATAGACCAAAAT